AAATTAAATAAAAATTTGAATAATGCATATAATTGTAAATATTAAAATGATATATAAAATTAGGATATTTAAGAATGCAAAAAAAAAAAAAAAAAGACTCTCTTGGGTTTATAGCCAAGCATGAGCACAACATCAAAAAAATGAAAGAAAAATGATAATAGAGTTGCACATATGCAATGTCTGCTTGTGAGGGTTGTGGCCAGCTGTGGGTACCCACGTGAAAGGGAAAGGGCTAAAAAAGTATTATTTTTGCACCTCTGACACATGCATCCAAGAGAAGGGGTGTAGTTTTCATCTAGAAAGGTCTTAATGAATTAACTCTCAGCAGTGAGAGAACTATGAAGGAGCTGATGTGCACAAACTTCTAATTTTGCATAGGTACCATTTTCATGACTTGAATCCTTACGCATCAATTCACAATATAGACAATCCAACCACTACTCTAATCCAAAATTCTAAAGGCTGAATCATTCATAAACATTCCCTAATTCCAAAAGAATCTTGCATGTGGATAGTCACATAACCTTAGAAGACATGCTAAACCTCATGAAAACCACTTCCCAAAACCTTTGGCTGAGAAAAGTGCAATAAGAGGAGTTTGTTGGGCCACTCCACTTTACTAGTTCTTGCCTCATACCACTTCTACATTCTAGGGAAATATCATCCAGCCTCTTTGATATGCGAATCATTTTTCATTTCAAGATGAGGAATTTTAACATACATAATTGACACTTTCTGTTTAGACTAATAATATTAAGTAGGTAGATAAGAAAAAACATTTAAATAGATGCACATAAAGTTAAACAAGACTAAATTGCAGCATTAACCCATCTCCCTTTAGAAATTATATCACTAATAATTAGAAGGTACTTTCAAGTTAATTGATCAACATTCTTTTTCTATTTAACTTCTTATACAAAATGTTAAGATAAATGGTGTTCAACTCGTATCCATTTGATGCAATTTAATAATAATATGTTATGAAAATTGGTTAGTTAGAAATGCCTCAAAATTTTACCAAAACGCTTGTTTTGAGGATGTTCGTTGCTATTATTCATCTTCCACATCATTTTTATCCTTTCAAGCTATTTGGAATCAAAACAATCAGTTTTCATTATCTACTGTATATGATGGGTGTTGATTAACATGTTAAACCCATAAAGTACATAAATTTTCATATGATTTTTATCCATATTACATTTGATCCATTTAATCTACCTCATAATCCATTCTCATTAACTTTATTTACCCTTCTAAATGCTACATCTTATACCCAATTACTTCACAAGAAGACTGTTGTTAGCTTCAACCAAAATGATGTGACAGAAAAGATACAAACAGACCAATTTTTCAAATCCAAACAAACCATACATGAATTATAAGTCATAACATTATATGTTTCAACAAAAAGGGACTTAATATCTTAAAAACAACCCCCCAAAAGATCAAGGGTATCACATAACAAGCAATCTGCAAACCCAATCGGATCACATCCTGCTTCAGGGTATTATTTTGCTATGAATTGATTGATCAAGTGATAATTATCCAAACTTCATTGATGGACTTGGTCAAAACAAAAATTCTAACTTTCTCCATCAATTACTAAGATGAAAAAGGATGATCCTGCAGCCCAAGAAGAAAAATCAAACCCAATAATATCAAATAAGATGAGGATCTCTTCAGAAATTAGAAGCAAGGAAACGATTTCGCAAAACTCAGTCGAAATCAAAACAAGGCGGACAATCTACCTCATATAAAACCCCCTGCCCATCAACCGATCTATCAGGAAATTGAACACTTGAATATCATTCCAAGAATAAAATGTAGCTTGTTCTCAATGAATAATTAAACCATTAAAAATTAGAAGAGTTTATAACTTTAAGAGTACTCCAATCGAGATCGAGGAGTACAGAAAGAAAAAATTAGAGAACCCAAACCTTGAGGCGTCGAGCCAGTACCAGCTCATTGGCGTAACCCATCACCAACGGCGGCAGCCGAGAGCGCGTTTATGGGCTTAGAAATCGCAACTTAGATTATCTCCGCTAGATAAAGTCGAGGAAGACGAAGAAGCATATGGATTTGGAGAAGCCACGGATCCTGCTTCTCTCGCTGCTGGTGCGGCCACACGTGTTTGTGTATCAAATTATGAACAGCAGACCATAAAATGGGTTGATGTTTAAAAACGGAAATTTAACTTTAAATGCTTCATATGTGTTGGGGGTGTACACGAGCCCAACACAAGTTGAAATTAGTGTCCGTTTGGGGTAGCTTTTGTGTTTCAGGATAAGTTGAAACACGGCCCGTTGGCCGGCCGCAGGGGTCGACCCGCGGCCTGCTTTTAGTGTAAAAACCCAAACGCAGTTTCGAATAAGCTGACGAAACGCGCGAACCAAACGGTACGACGGCGTTTTGAAAACGTTACCCGCACTTATAAGCTGTCCCAAACGGTTAATTTTAAATGCTTCATTATGTGTAGGGGTATAAACGAGTCGAACACGAGCTGAGCTTTATATTTCGAGCTCAAAAAGTGTGTTCGTGTTCGGCTTGTTTGTTATTCACGAACAAAGAGTCATTTTAACAATCATAATCATGTAGTCATAAGACATAAGACAATAAGAGTTTGAGCAAGATTTAAAAATTATTATTTATATTAAAACATCATTTGAATCTAATTTAATAATTTTTATTCTATTTTCTTAATCAATATTTTAATTGGTTGTAAATCTTTATAGACATGTAGTCAATTAGATTTTTTTTAAATACTTCAGCAGACCATGGGAAAAAATTTGGGCACATAAGAGGCACGTTGCGTGCGATAGCGAATCAGCAGAAGACACGTCAGTTTTGTCGGCCCCACCGCAAGACAAATATACCTTTTACCGTGCATGACCCGTCGACCCGACCCGTTATTGTAACCTCCATGTAATCCCGATGTAACTTTCGCTGTCCACCCCATGTACCGCGCTTGTAAGCCCCATATAATCCCGATCTAATCTCCGCTGTCACCCCCATGTACAGCGCTTGTAAGCCCTGTATAACTCCGGTGTTACACCTCCGCTGTCACCAAAGGATGTAACCCCGGTGTACGTTCCACAGAAACGCCACTGTAATCCGCGTGTACTATCGTTGTACATCCGGTGTAACCTCCGAATGCACGTGTACACTGGATGTAATCCCGGTGTAACTTCCGCGGTAACGTCCATGTAACCCCGCGGTAACGCATCAGGATGTACACTTGATGTACAATACGTGTAACACCGGTGTAACCTAGAGATTGTAACACGCGTGTAACCCGAGTGTAATCTCCGTGTAACCCAATTGTAATGTCCACGTATATTGGAAATGCGCTTGTAACCCGATTGTAATGTCCATGTACACTGGAAATGAGCTTGTAACCCGATTGTAATATCCTTATAACTTATTTACGCTGGTAAAAATAAAAAACACAGTAAGAATTCGTATTCCCGAAAGAAGGGATTCGCTTTGCTAGGGTTCCTCCATCGTGCTCCTTTTGAAGGTTAGGGTTTTGCTACTGTGAGGGGTTACACGCGTAATGGAAGATAAGGAGAGTACGAAGACCTTGGAAGAGACCACTAGTGCGGATTTGGGTGAGGGGAACCAACCCGAACGCGAGCAAGCAACTGTTACAGTGAAGTCCGACCGCAAACAGTCCAAAAAGGGAGAGAGTCATCACATATTAGTCCGTGTTCAGCTTGTTAACTTATTGAACAAAATTAAGGAGCCGAAGACGAGCTTCTTAACGAGCCGAAAACGAGCTGTTTGCGAACAACGAGCCGTTTTGACAGCCCTAATTATGTGTGTAATTGACCAAACAATTTTTCTTTTTATATAGTTTGACATGTATATAAAATTAATCTTATACGAAAATAATGTTTAATATTTCTATTTTTCGAGCACAAAGAATCTTTTCAATTAAAGCATAAATTAGTAATTTAAAAAGTATTAAAAAAAAATTTTCAAATTTGAGACTAGAATTTATGATTTATTTTTTAAAATTTTTAATATAAATTGATAAAAAAAAATGTTAACAAAAAAAATAAATAAATGTTACATAAAAATGTTATGTAATTATTTTATTGTGAATATTCTATTTATTTTATTAGATACTATAATATGAAAACTCTTTTGAGTATTTTTAAATCACATGTATTCAAGATTTATAAATTTATCTAAATGTACAGGCTATAAATATTTCATTTATAATATTATTTAATATTCATAAATTTTAAATTGCGTAGGAAATATAAATAAATTCTTTTATCAATATTAATTTAAAATTTAAATAATTTTTTTACTGTTGATTTTAAAATAATTAAATTTGCCTAAATTTCTCAAAAAAAAAAAAAGTATCTCAATTTTATTTTATACAAACTTACTTTAGAATAAAACAAAATTGAAGTATAAAAAATAAAAATGAAAACTAAAAGTTCATAAATATTTGGCTACCGGTATTATTTATTGTTTAGAATGATTTTCGTGCATGCTACTCAATTCATATGTACTTTCATATCTAGCACCTAAACTTCAATTTTAACATATATGTCACCTATTCACTTTTTAAGAATTAAAATTGTGGTATTTTTTATTTGATATGGAAGATTTAGGTGTGTCAGCGCTAATCCCAATGAGATTTAACGGTCAAGAAGAAATCATATGACAAAGGAGGGTCTATAGAAAGAAGACCAGAAGGTCCACTTATTCGATCAGATGCTCCTCTCTGAGCCAGATCAAGCAAGACCAAAACAAACCGAGTCACGAAGGCAACTGAATTCGAGCCATTTGTTCAAAAACAAGACAAAAAGATATTCAAGTCAACCACTACAAGAAAACTGAACGAAGGTAGCAACCTCTCTTTTGATAGCTCCAACCCAAAGAAAGATCTAATTTCTCAATGTCACCAACCATACCATGGAAACCCTAAAGGCTCCTCATCAATGATCAAGAATTAAAAATACAACAAAGTGTCCTATAAACATCCCTTAGGCTCTTCTTGTTGAGGAGCGAAATATCATTTGGCTCATGGGGATTCACTTTCTGCCTGATAGCTTCGCGTCATTGTGCCAATAGGAACTTCTCAACAGGGATTGAGAGTCAACAACTAGACTCGATCAACTGATCAGCAAAGTCTAGTCGATTGAAGCAACCTATTGATCTGAAACCAATCAAGCTCAGCGAACATTAATGTTGATTCCGCCTATCTGACCGAATCGGTCTTACAAAGCCAAAGTCAAACAAGCTCATCTGAATAAGCTAGAGAGCAGCAGAGTGATAGGCTAATACCTTTAAAATGATTAAAATGTCTTATACAACGCTCATTAAAGTAGGGGCCAAGAACGTAAAATCACTGTATCAAAATCTCTCCCCTATAAATTGGAAGATCATTTATGTTATGAGGGATACACAATTATAGCCAAAAAGGTTGGGAAAGGTCAACACGGTTTATGCAATTTTTTGTTCATTATTATTCACTCTTCTCTCTCTCTCTCTCTCTCACACACACACACACACATACATTTCTTATACTCTATTCCTTGGTGTGTGCTTCACGGATAAATTTGGATTCAACATTTTAAAAGGTGTAGTGAGTATGAATCATGCCACAAACAATAAGAGAAACAGCCGACCGAAAAGAAACTCACAATAGAGAGAATAATATGATGTGCGCAAGAGAGTTCGTAAACTAGCAGATCCATGAGTTGAAGGATAAAACGTAGGATGTCATCCGAGAGGCACTTCGAAGCACACATGCAGAAAGTTGCATATCAATGTACCCGGAAAGCAAAGGGGAATTCGGAAGCTGAGCTGCGCATGAAGGAATCCATGAAAAAATTATCATTGGACATTGATTGCATTTTGATTGGTAAGGGTACTCAATCAGGAAGACAACAAAGGAAAAATAAAGCACCAGTCAATAATGAATCAAATATGAATGATCCAGCTAAAATGCGCCCTAAAGGAATATCTAATGCCAGACTGAAAGGGTATTGGGAGAAAAATAAAAAATCAAAAGGTATGGTTCAACAACTTCACCCCTTTTATATGTTGTGCCACTCCATGTCATATCATCATTTACCATTCTATATGTATATATTTAGGCAAGCAAAAAATTGTATCAACAACCGAAGAACCCGAATCATCACAATGTCATCCACCCGTATGTTCATTACCCAATTTTCTAACACAGGTATAAATTTTCAGAATTGTTTATGTTATAATACGATGATTTCATGATTCAATAATACATCGATACACACATGCAGAATTCATTTCCTCCACGGAACAGGGAATCCTACACTGCAATGATGACAAAATGCTTCAATGAGAAACCAATGCCTCAGTGGTAATACATGTAATATTTTAAATTAATAAGTACATTGTATCTTATATGTGCTTAGGATTTTAACCGATATGATAAAAAAATGCTGAAATACAATTGTTTTTTTTGTTTTGAAATTCAGCAATACTTTGGAGCCTTAAATTAATGATTGTTCACACGGAAAGCAACATTTACTATTCCAACACATGTTGGTGGATTAGGTCTGCCCTTCATGGAGTATTCCTACATTTACTATACTACGTCACAATTTAAATTATTTGTAAAAGCTATAATTATCCTCCTCATGTAAGAGTTTGGTTGATGAATTACTACAGGTCCTTTTGGAAGGCTATGAGTCTGAGATTCAACACATGAGCCAGAACAGCAGATCCGCTGTCTTCCGCAACATGGAGCTGATGAGTCAACACAAAGCAAAAGTGTCCAGCTCTTGTTTTAAAATTGATGTAGCGATGTATCTGGTCCCTATTTTAATAACTGTATAGTTTAAGCATTATGGATAAAGAAAATTTATTGCAACTCATAATTATATGTTTCATTATTGCGTTGGCTCGCTACAAAAAATGAAAAAGTTTATTCATTGTTTTGGGAATTTTAATGTATCTGCTTTGATTGCTTCTCGCTGCTGATTCCCTGGGCTGTTTCTCATACTCTGGAACGTATGTTTTAGATGTCCATGCTGGTGGAATTCAATCTTTACATATCCAACACCAAAAAAACGATTATTTTTATTGGTCTAAACATATGATTTTACTTTTTTTGAAAACCCTGTGCATATCTTTATAAAAAATTCAATCTTCTAACACCA